ATTCCCCGGATACCACATGGCCTAAGAATTTGACCTCTCCTAGCCAGAACTCACACTTCCCAAACTTGGCATACAGCCTATGGGCTTTAAGCAACTCAAGCACCACTCTCAAGTGTTCCTCGTGCTCCTCCTCAAAAGGCGAATAGATAAGAATGTCGTCCACGAAAACGACCACAAATCAATCTAAGAATTCCCGGAAGATCCGGTTCATCAAGTCCATAAAGACTGCTGGTGCATTGGTAAGCCCGAATGGCATCACCAGAAACTCAAAATGGTCATACCGCGTATGGAATGCCGTCTTAGGAATATCCTCCTCCCTAACCCTCAACTAGTGGTAACCCGATCTTAAGTGTATCTTAGAGAAACAACGGGAACGCTTCAACTGGTCGAACAAATCATCTATACGGGGCATAGGGTACTTATTCTTAACCGTAGCCCGATTCAACTTTCGGTAGTCGATACACAATCTCAAGGCACCATCTTTCTTTTTAGCAAAGAGGACCGGTGCTCCCCACGGCGAAACACTAGGGCAAACAAAACCCTTATCTAGCAATTCCTGGAGCTGAATCTTCAACTCACTCAACTCGGCTGGGGCAAAACGATAAGGTGCCATAGAAATCGGCGCTGTGCCGGGCACTAAATCAATAGAGAACTCTATCTCTCGGTGAGGTGGCAAACTAACGAGATCTTTGGGAAAAATATCCGAATACTCACAAACCACCCTTGGCAATACAATCTGGGTCTTATCACACTCACCACTCATAAAGCTAGCAAGTAGACCACTAAGCCTATTCCGCCCTCGCGGATCATACATCGGTGGCAACACACTACCAACTTGATCCCCCAAGAAATGGAAACACTCCCTGCTCAAGGTACAAACCGTGACCCTCTGGCGGTAGCAATCAATAACAGCCTGGTATGACGATAGCCAGTCCATACCCAAAATAATATCAAAACCCTTCATGGGCATGACAACAAAAGGAAAAAGAAGCCTATGATCGGCGACCTCTATATCACAACCTCTAACATCTTGTTTCAAGATCAACTCACCACCAACAGGCGATACTACACAGATAGGAGATGCTAACTGTGCCAACTCCAATTTCAAAACAGATGCAAATGCAGCAGACACAAAAGAATGAGATGCACCCGTATCAATCAATACACTAGCAACCGAGTTGCAAAACAGAAAGGTACCTCTCACTACTGATGGAGCCGGTACTAGGTCCTGTGCGGCAATAGCATACATACGCCCTGTAGGCCCCTGATCTACCTGCTCACCTCTAGGAGCAAAAGACTACTGCACTGACTGGGATGACGAAGCTCCCGGATTGGCCCTCGAGGCCTACACAGACTGAGCTGGCTGATAACTCTGCGTCTGCCTAGAACCAGACGCTCCTGAAGTAGCACTCAACTGTAGGCAATACCTGTTTAGGTGCCCAGGATGACCACACTGATAGCAAGACAAAGGCTGGCCCCTGTCCTGACTCTGGGCCTGAGGTCTAGCTAAAGAAGAAGTAGCTCGTCGACTCCCTCCCTTCTGCGGGCAAACCGAAGACTTGTGACCCAGCTGGCCACATGAAAAACAAGTCAAGCCTCCCTGACTACCTCTCCTAGAGCCCGCACTCGGCACTGGAAAGGTTGATCTAGCCAAACCACCCTGAGACTGTTGAGGGTTAGAACCCCTCTGTCTCTTGCCGTCACCCTAACCATCTTGGCTCCTCTTGGAGCCTCTCTGCCCCTCATCTTCCTCCTGCATCATAATCTCCATATGAGGTGCAGCATCAACTAAACGTCTGTACTCTCGGATAAAGGACCCTCCAACCCTCAACTTGAGTCCACGCCTCAACTTCGCTCAAACTCTAAACAACGGCGTTCCTCGGACGCCACTAGTTCAGGTGCAAACCTGGACAGACTAGTAAAAGTAGCCTCAAACTCGGCCACTGACAAACCCTACTGATTAAGCTGGCAAAACTGTTCTCTCAACTTCTCCCTAGCAGCTGAAAATAAAAACTTCTCCTGGAAAGCATTCACAAACGCCTCCCATGCACCACCAACACTACCCTTCTCGTACTTCCACCATTGACCCACATCTCCCTTCAGTTGGAAGGATGCCAAGGTCACCTTTAAAGCCCCGTCCTCGATGCCAAGAATCTTGAACGTCTTCTCTATCTGTTCCAACCACTCATCAGCCTTAAGTGGCTCCTTCGGATCCCCAACAAACTCGTCCGGATTGGACCGGAAGAATTCTCTCTTCAAGAAGGAAGGCCCTGCCTCAACAACCTGGGCCTAAACTGGAGCTTGACCTGGATTCTCCGCTCGGAAAATACCCACAGACTCCCTCAAAGCATCGGCTATCCCTCGGGCTAAAGCGCCCATAGCCTCCTGACCTGCTGGCTCGGCCACATTGGCCTGGCCAACCCGTTCCTGCTGTGCCGGAATATCATCCGGTAAAGGCATCTCCTGCCTACCACGTCTGCCACGTCTACCACGTCCTCGTCCTGACATCCTAATAAAAGTAACCAAGACCATTAGCACATTCACAAATGTGCTGAAGCTATAACACTCACGTCCTAATGCATGGACAACTGCAATTCACTCTATATAAGCACATAAACACATAAGCACTTACGAATTTCATTTCCGGATAATAATAGTCCCGAGGTGTTACTAGAGTTCCAGTTAGAAACAGCATTGATCAAGTGCTTTTCCAGCAAGACTCACAGAAACCCAAGGATCCAATTAAGATCCTAGAAACTAAATCCCATACCCAAGTAGTCACATAAACATGTTATCAAATAAACACATAATGTCGCACATAAGTCTCTAACAAGCGAGACACACCCATTGTGATATTAATCACTTCCCACGTACCCAAAGTATTCGAACCCGATACGCTCTGATACCAAGTTGTAACGCCCTCAAAAAATACGTAAAACCCATCACTTTAGACATGCATTGATATAAAAGAAACTAACCATTTCTATTCATCAGAGTAATTCTTACAACTGTATTTCATGTTAACAACAAAAGCAAATGCCCTATGGGCTTACAGCTTTCCAAGTCAACACCTGGTTACACAAAAGAAGAGTACTAACTCTATACAAAATAAGCCCTTGGTTTTGATATACATGTAATACAAACAAAATAAACAAAAAGAGTCTCCAACTCCCATCATCATCTAAACTATGTCCTTGGAGGTGGCATACTACCTGTACTTAAAAATAATGTCCCATATAGGGTGAGCCAACGCCCAGTAGAAATATGCTAAATACAGTATGAGCAATAACTAAGACATTAGCAATTAATAAATGTTCAATTTCCATAAACCAATTCATAACCCATTTCCATTTCATGACCACTATGTTCATGTTTCATTATAGTTTCCATTTCTTATCAATTTCACAATTTACATCAACGGCTCAGAACCTGACCAACCACTTATATGAGACAGTGACTCATATTAGACATTTCCCATTTTACAGTAGATAAACATACTAGTTGTATCAACATTTCAACAGATAAGCATACAAGCTATATCCACATTTCAACAGATATGCATATTACCTATATCAACACTTCCAAAGATAAGCATATGAGCTGTATCAACACATTAACTGACAAGCATATGAGCTGTATCAGTGGAGTCCATCCCCTATCTCCTCCCAAACAACATCCGGTTTAGAGGTCCGTCCCCTATCTTCCCCTAAACCGTGGAGCACATCCCCTATCTCCTCCCACACACATAACGTATATACACATAGGTCATATGCACAATCAATCAATACATAACGTTAATGTATTCTATCAACCGTCATACTCTATGACATGCCCAATTAATTAGTTTTAGTTTGCCTAATCATCATGCATTGTTCACAACAATCAAAACTACCCTCCACCGGTAGTCCAAGCAATTATTTCTAAACAGATATTAAAAGCTCCAACAGATAAAATATCAATGTTTTCAAAAGTGAGCGATTAACAAATCCAACTCCACAATTCTACTATATAATGAGCAAATTTCATTATATCCAACTCAATTCCATATAACCACAATTTTCCCAAATTAATCATACCAATTAATTTATAAAACCAATTAGGGTTTTCTACTCCATTTCCCAATATTGACCCAATGGTCTATATATCAACAACCAACAACAATATCATTATTTTGAAACTCATAATACACGTTTTTAGAATCAAAATAACAAAACCCTCTTTTAGCATTTTGAAACCTTAAGTCCCAAAATTACCCAACCTCAACACTTTATCAAAACAACCAAAATCTATGTCAAAGATCATAAAAGTGAGTAGGAATCCCTACCTCAAATTCGGAGCTCAAGGAAAGAAGATAAAGAAACTCAACGTGCTCCAAAACTCAATATTCTTGGATCAAAACGTAGCCCTCGACAATCAACCCAACTCTTACAAAGGCCGAAGGGAAGGGAAGCACTCTAACTAGATCATACCCTAGAGAGAAGGGAGTTTCTAGAGAGAGGAGCTCTCAAAATATCTTTTTAGAAAGTAAGAGAGAGAGAGAGAGAATGTAAAATATGATTTTAAAATGCCCAGCTGCCAACTGATATACGACATTCCCGCTCAAGCGGAGAACACAACGCTCGAGCGTCAAGAACAAAAAACTAGGTACGCTCAAGCGCAAGAAAGCCCGCTCGAGCGCCAAGACACAAGAATAAAGTACATCCGCTCGAGCGCGAAAACCAGTCCGCTCGAGCGTAGATTTCCCCCCCCCAGAACTTACACCAAAAAGTACTACCCGCTTGAGCGCCAGAGTACCCGCTCGAGCGCCACCACTCGAGCGTAAAGAAACCCGCTCGAGCGTGAAAAACATGCTTGCAGAAGTTCTGTAGAGCACCAAAATACTGGGAGCGTGCAATCTCCGCTCGAGCGCAACAAGGCCCGCTCGAGCGGAACGACCAAAAACCTGGCAACAAGATTTTAGACCAAGGTTCAACCCACCTGTTCGAAACATGCCCAACACATCCTAAAACTCAAACAAATGGAATTAAAGGACGACAACAAGATAGATACAACTACCAACTCCACGGAACCGAGTCCGGAATACAACAGAACAGTAAAGGGACAACCGGGATCGCTATACTAGTTATGCTATTGCCATGTAGTTGGGACGAATGTTGCTGACATTAGCATTTGGGAAGTTGGATCTTGAGAAAGGTTAGCACATAAACTCTTCCAGGTTTGGGATCTCTCAGCTTGTTCAATGCCATTGCAGGTAAAAATTTCATTGGTATTAGCTACCTTTAACATGTTATCTGTGGTATCTTACCATTTTTATGTAAAAAAATTTATAATTTCTAGACAGTTTGGTGAAAGATGCCACCATATCTATCAATTGATGCATTTGGGGCCCAGATGGATCTATACTTGGTACATCTAAATGCTTTATTTTCAAGCATTGGAGTTTTTTTTTTCTTTTTCTTTAAATTCCTTCTTAGGAATTGTGTTTTATTTCTTATCTTACATATACTTTTTCATAGGTGTTGCTTTCTCAAGAACATTGTTCAGATATTTACTTACAATAGCAGGAGAATTAAGACAACATTTGGAAGTAAGCTCTATTGTATGTTCGATTTTTCTAATAATGAGACCAATGTTCAAGTACCTGATGACTTTTCCCCTGTTCCAGATTGATGCTCATGTTGGTGGTGTTAATGATATTGCCTTTGCTCATCCTAATAAGCAACTTTGTATTGTCACATGTGGTGATGACAAGACAATTAAGGTATAATTGTAATAAGATTTTAGGGTGTTTTGAGTGAAGTTTTCTTATGTATCTCTGTGTAATAGGTGTGGGATGCTGTAACTGGACGCGGGCAATATATATTTGAAGGCCATGAAACTCCTGTATATTCTGTCTGACCCATTATAAGGAGAATATTCAGGTGAATAATTCTGATACTTGAGAGCCAACTGCTTTCCGTCTCCTTATCAGTTCTTTGGTGTCACAAGAACGATTTTTTTGGCACGTCTTCGCTGATATGGTAAAGGAAGGTTCAAAGAGCTTAGTCCCTTGGTAGTTTCACTCGTGATCTATTTTATCTCTGTCTGCAGTTTATTTTTTCCACTGCCATTGATGGGAAAATTAAAGCATGGCTCTATGATTTCTTAGAATCAAGAGTGGATTATGATGCCCCTGGACTTTGGTGCACTGCAATGGCATATAGCGCTGATGGAACTAGATCTTACTTTTCTCAAAACCCAGCTCTGACTAGTGCCTTCTTATTCTTTTGTCTTCTTCACTTGAATTATATGGGTAATTATGGGAATGTCTTTGATTCTCTATACATACATTTGATTTATTGGGTGTGTTGAAGTCTAATGCTTTGTTGTATCATTGCAGAGCCAACATGATGAGTTGGAGGCAAAGTTTTTCGAGGAGAGAGCAGCCTTTGAAGCTAAATACCAAAGCACACTTCATATATATATATATATATATATTGTTACAATGAGAAAATATTAGCAATTTTTTATTTTTATTTTTATTTTTATTTTTTTTGTATTGAGTTAACATACTGTGTTTTAAGATTTTTGTTTTTGGTTATGGAAAATTGGAAAATGAATACTGGTTCATATTATGTATAAATTTTGAAAATGGTGATAGATTATAGGTTTGTTTGTTTATTTGTTTTATTTTATTTTTTTTCTTTTGTGAGGAAAAATGTTTGCTTTGAACAAATGTCAAAAATATCATTAATTATGATTTTTTTTTTTTAAAAAAAGAAAAAAGGAAAGGTGGCGTTTTTCATAAAAACGCTGCAAAATGTCGTATGATTACGTCATAGTTAACTCTTCTGACAGAAATAGTTGACAGATGTTAAGAATTAGTAGCGCTTTAAAAAATGCCATCTAAAATCTATAGTGGCGTTTTCAAAACGTCACAAAGATATGACGGCTGTCTTATCAGCAACGAATTTTTTAAACGTTGCCTTATCATTTTGCGGCATTTTTTTTTGGCTTTTTGCAGCGTTTTAAAAATGCTGCTAATTCCCAATTTTCCTACAATGTCATCAATTAACTTTCTGTTTTTTGCCGATCAAAAAAAAAAATTGAGATTCTAAATGGCATTCTATCACAAGTTATATACCCGTACCTTGTCAAAAATATAACTATGGTGGTTATAATATTGTATTTTGTGTCATTGAGGTTATCAAAAATTTAATTTTGCTAATTTTATCTGTAAATTTTTTAATTTGAGTGAAATTGGTTTAATTTCAAATGACTCTAAATCATTAATGGAATACATCTATTGTCCTGAAGGATGTGTCTCTGTCACTGTGTGGTTCTTAGAGTTTTTCAGTGCAACCAATTTCATCTCTAGAACGTTGTAAGTTATGCTTTATCTTCTTAAATTATCATTTCATCGATAATTTTAATGGCCCATTTGAAATTGGATTAAATTAAATTCAAAATTTTAAGAAAGAAATTATCAAATTAAAACTTGAAAAAGGACGATAGTGACATAGAACACTATTTCTAAGGAGCATAGGTCATGTTTGATCCAAAAAAAGAAAAGAAAAAAGGAGCATAGGTCATGTGGAGATTTTATGTTGAATCTTTATCTTTCTTTTCAATCATTTTGAAATTAATCAGATTTTTCTTTGTCCGAGTATCAATATTCCAATCCGGGTGGAAGTTTGTTGCCTAAACAAGTACATGGTTTTGATGCAGAATCAGCTCATGGACTGGAAGTGGCAGAGATAGAGTTCTCTGGTGATGAGAATGAGGTGGAGTTAATTAAGTACTAGCTCAAACATTCCAAATCATTGAAGAAAATGGCCATATTTTATTCACCTCATCAAGACATCTCCAACTCAGTCAAGATTACTGGCAAAAAGGTAGAAGCTTTCACCAATGCGTCCTCTATTTTTTGTGTTTATTTCTTCCTCGCTAAACTCTTTTGTTTTTTTGTTTTTTTTTTTGGATATCTTTTATGAAATTGTTTACAGTTACCTCTTGGGATATTGATCTATCTTGGTACACAGTTGGAATAAAAGTCATACTCTTTTGATATCAATATTGATTTATTTTGATACACAGTTGCATTAACTGGTTTCTTATATGTTGTTCACGAACCAATTCACAACCGATGCATCTGGCCCCTTCGGCTGTTAACAAAGTTTTTATTTTTTATTTTTTTTTATTTCTTTGCTTCTGATATTTTTAAAAAATTACAATGGTACTCGATTTTCAATATATATTACTTGATATTCTCGATATTACTGCACCACGGTCAATACCAATTCGTCTCCCAACGCTACTATTTCAAACCTTAGTTATTGTGAGTACATAATTTTAAGTTGTCCATGTGGCCTAGGTAGTTAGCTGAAGTGCCACATGGATGCATCTCGTTTGCCGAGGTGTGGTTAGACCATACCTGTATCCGAGATAATTGGATGAGAACAAGAGTCTTACATCATGACAGACTCTCTATTTGAATAAGTGAGGACTCTTGAGAGAGTTGATCTTAATCTGAATTAGAAGAGTTCATGATAAGTGTTATCCCTAAAAGGGATGGAGTCCTACAAAGTAAGAATTAATTACTATTTAAAGAACCCCATGGATCTAAGGTGCGCTTTAATTAGCCGATATCTTTGAGAGATAGATTATTGACTTGATCATCATAGAGCCTCCTGATGTACGAGCTATCGGTCTTTTTGTCTTCTTGTATGTAGGTGTTGAGTTTTTCTATTATTGCACTGATCTGGCTGCGAGGTCATATTTCAACACCCACAGTTATGATGAATAATATAACAACTTTAAAGTCATGCCAAATCAATGACTCTAAAATCTGATGTTTTTTTTTTTTTTGAACATAAAAATTCAAAAATTTACCAAATACACTAAAATCTGATGTTGCTAAACAAAATTATGACTAATTTTAAAATTTTCATAAATGGAAAAAATGAATTTGGAGATCCAAATGATTGAACTAGCCCCAAAACTGGTTAGGTTACATTAGATGAGTGTGACTTGCTCTTTGAATGGTTTACAAAAGCCTGGGCAATGGGCCCGCCTGGGCTAGCACAATCTGAAAATTTTAGGCTTACACTGTCACACCCAGAACTCGCCCCTAAAAGTTTGGGCATGACCACCTCAGAAAAACGGACATAAAACCTGATGAATATAATCTACGGGGCCTGAACGGAAGCATTTAATAGTATATAATAGTAAACAAAAATAATAATAATTATAACAATATATCCATTGAGCTACCACTACCATACCAGGATCACAAACAGAACATAATGCAGTTAAATATACAGTGACGTGCACCTGAAGATAACTATGTACATGTACATATACGCCGATCTTAACAGACATTTAGGGTACAAATTAAAACTAGCAAAACTCCACAACCTGAACAATCAACATCTAAGGGCTTAGATACTCAGGGTTTGACAACTGGGTAACAAAAGCCACAAGTGAAGGTTGATCTCCAGGTTGAGTGCCTACAGAAACAAACATAAAATAGAGTGAGTCAAGCTCAGTGAATAATAATGCATAACAATTCAATGCTCAACGTGAATTAATCCATATCTGTGTGTTCATCAATAAAGAGAACATATGGTTTATTTGTTTCTGTATGCATAGCTAAGTATCTTTTTCAGAAAACTTGTCATATCTTGAACATTCGGGGTTCCATAGTGCATCTAGGCATTTTGGGAAAAATTATCCGGCAAGCATATCATATTATAAACATATCATAAGTTCATAGCATTTTTCTCATTTCAGAAATTACTTATCATATGAAACATTTCGTAACTCCAAATACGGATTTCATCAAAGTCATTTATATTTTAAGTATCTTTTACGGAATGGCCTTGAGCCTAATCTTGAGCACAATGGCTTTAAGCCCTTAACAGAATGGCTTGAAATCCTTAACAAAATGGCATGAAGCTCTTATCAAAACGGCATAAAGCCCTTGAAACACATTGGCATTAAAGCCCTGAAACATATGGCATAAAAGCCCTTGGAACATGAAACATATGGCATAAAAAGCCCTTGAAAGATGGCATATAGCCCTTGAAAAGTTGCCATGAAGCCCTTGGAATGGCATAAAGCCCTTGTAACTTGGGATGGCATAAAGCCCTTGGAATAGCATAAAGCCCTTGTAACTTGTGATGGCATAAAGCCCTTGTAATGGCATAAAGCCCTTGTAACTTGTAATGGCATAAGCCCATGTAACTTTGTAATGGCATAAAGCCCACGAAACTTGTAATGGCATAAAGCCCACGAAACTTGTAATGGCATAAAGCCCACGAAACTTGTAATGGCATAAAGCCCACGAAACTTGTAATGGCATAAAGCCCACGAAACTTGTAATGGCATAAAGCCCACGAAACTTGTAATGGCATAAAGCCCACGAAACTTGTAATGGCATAAAGCCCACGAAACTTGTAATGGCATAAAGCCCACGAAACTTGTAATGGCATAAAGCCCACGAAACTTGTAATGGCATAAAGCCCACGAAACTTGTAATGGCATAAAGCCCACGAAACTTGTAATGGCATAAAGCCCACGAAACTTGTAATGGCATAAAGCCCACGAAACTTGTAATGGCATAAAGCCCACGAAACTTGTAATGGCATAAAGCCCACGAAACTTGTAATGGCATAAAGCCCATGAAACTTGTAATGGCATAAAGCCCATGAAACTTGTAATGGCATAAGCCCAGGTAACTTGTAATGGCATAAAGCCCATGAAACTTGTAATGGCATAAGCCCAGGTAACTTGTAATGGCATAAAGCCCATGAAACTTGTAATGGCATAAGCCCAGGTAACTTGTAATGGCATAAAGCCCATGAAACTTGTAATGGCATAAGCCCAGGTAACTTGTAATGGCATAAAGCCCATGAAACTTGTAATGGCATAAGCCCAGGTAACTTGTAATGGCATAAAGCCCATGAAACTTGTAATGGCATAAGCCCAGGTAACTTGTAATGGCATAAAGCCCATGAAACTTGTAATGGCATAAGCCCAGGTAACTTGTAATGGCATAAAGCCCATGAAACTTGTAATGGCATAAGCCCAGGTAACTTGTAATGGCATAAAGCCCATGAAACTTGTAATGGCATAAGCCCATGTAACAAGAAAATGAAGAGAAGGTTGTGTTGGTGGCTTACCTTCTAGCTTTGCACAAGAAACTCTCTTCTTCTTCCCTCTCCTCCTCTAGACTCGAGTGAGCTTGGAAAGAAGCCTTCGCAAATCCAAGTTCCAATCGGGTAAAAACATTAATCCTCCCTTGTTCTTCATCCTTGATTCCGAAAACCATGGTGGATCGTGATCAAAGTAAAGGAATTCAAGGGTTTGGGGGCTAGGGTTTCGGACATGGAAGAGAGGAAGGAAGAGGAAAGAAGAAAAACATCTAAAATGATCCAAAATCCCGTTTTTAAAGCTGCTGGTCCGAAAAACCCGCTCGAGCGCACATCTTCACGCTCGAGCGTACATGCATTCAGCACAGATGTCAAAACTTCAAATAGGCATAACTCTCCCATCCGGACTCCGTTTTA